TCAATTACAGATCGAAATCTTCCACAAGTGCCCATATGACACAACATTTATTTATAAGCATAAAACGACCACCAAACCCAACTAAAATAGGTCTATTAAGCCTTCGACCGTCCCTCTACATGCTATGCAAAACATGAACGAACCAAAAAATACAGATGAACATGCATAAGCATTACATTGAATATCCCGTTTGTAATTTTGTCCATGACATAGTGTCGGGCTAGTCGATGCACATCCACCTAAGGTAGGGCCGAAAGCTTCAGAGCTCATCATCAGCGCAATAGAGGCTACATACGTACGATACCCTGCTAGATAATAGCGGCTTGGTACTGTTGCTGGTAGTCACTTCCATGATGACGCCTCATCTTGTTATTGATGGTGGTTTTAATTTTTTTTAAACTTAAATTACATATGTCATTATATTAATGACTTATTATGAATCTAAACTTTAATGTTTGTTAATTCAAATTTGATTGAAGGGGCTTATATGTTATGTTTTTGAAAATATGAGTTATTTTAGATACGAATAAATTGTAAGAGCTTAAGTAATCGATGACCAAAATCCTATTAAGTTAAAATTGACCTTAATAATTTTTTACTTAAATTATATATATCATTATATTAATAGTTTATCGTGAGTCTATTACGTAAGTACACTATAATATCTATTAATTTAGACTTAATGAGAAAGACTTATATGTTATATTTTTAAAAATATAAAAAAAATATTTTAGATATAAATAAATCATAATAACTTAAGTGACGTAGGACCCAAATTACATGAAATAGAATGGACATAACCCCTTGCACTTATATTGGAAAGCTAACACCTTTAAATACAATCAATTTATTTGATTAGATAATTCAGCAGTTATAAATTTGAATTCGAATTCGAGTTCTTCCCGCACCGGCATTCTCATTAACGCATTCCTTTGAACCGTCGAAACAACAGGGAATTGGGCGGTTTCACATTAATTACGCTTAAACTCTCTTCTCTATTCGTCGAATTCCTCGACGTTGTCCTCACCCGCATCTCTTCCCTACTCCGGCGGCCCTCGAAGTGACCTTTCCCCACACCCTGATCCCACATCTCAGTCCGCTATGCCTACCTCCCTCGCCACATTGGTTGGAGCCCCAAATCGAAGCCTTTAGGTACTGTGGAAAGATCGAAGCAGGCGTTGGCTGTACCTTACAATTGCATGATGGCTTCCGTCGACACCAGACAACGCCCGGCTTCTCTACCAGGTGATGGGGTTGCATACCTGAATCCTGCTTTACCCCTTCCTTTTCGGTATAATGTTTCCTAAATGTGCTTGGTGGCTAATATCCATGTCGATTCTAATACAACATGTCAAGGGCATGAAACTTTTGATGTTGTGTTCTGGAAAATATTAGATTTGGGGATAGGCTATCTGTGTCAGTTTGATTGAATTTCCTAGGTTTTGTGTTCCGGAATCAAACTTAGATGAATCCGTCATGGAATAGAAAGCTCGAGTATCGTTGTTGAAGAAACAACAAAATAATCAATCAAAAGATTCAACGAGGAAGTAAAACACAAACCCAAAAGTTCCATGGTTCAACGTCATTTGCATATGTTTACAGAGAGAATCAAAATTATTGCAATAAAGATATATATTAAATCGATTTAATCCAAATCCAAACTTAGAACTTCTTGTATACCCTTTCACACAAACATAAAGAATTTTCTTTAAACTAATTTAATTACTCCAAAAGTCCTGTCCTTTGTCAAGCAACACAGAAAGCTACGACCAGTTCTTTAACTTTATCCGATAGACTAAGAAAAATAGGTCTCTATGATGCATAGATTTTAGAAACGTAGTGGCATAGTAAAACACATCCATCATCGACAAAGTCTCTTTAGGACTGACAATGATTGTTTCTTATTTCGCTCAATATTTAATAGCTGATTAGCTATTTTAAAAAAATAGGGTCAAACTCACTACTAGTTTGCTGTCCAAGCATAGTAAGTGACTTAACTGTATGTTATCATCACTGATTGGCTATCAGATATACTCTGAAATTGGAACACAGCAATCAGATGATAAATTATTCAAGGGCATATCACTTGTATCATGCTTCAATTCTTTGGCAGTATCATTTCCTTCTTATGACATGGAGCTTCTAGCTTGTAAATGGCACTTTGTCATGAAAACTAGATCTTCCAACAACTATAGTTCTAGAAATATTTCTTGATGTGGATCTTGCTGCCTGTTTCTTGTTATGCCAAGAATTTATCTGATATCACAGAGCAGAGCTAGTAAACTTGGAAGTTATTAATCATAAAAGAATTTCATTCATGTCAAGGTATTGATGAATGTTTAAATCAAAGGAATAAATGCATGAACAAGAGCAAACAAAGTTACATTGGACATGTTTACAGTTATTACTTGAACCAATGTATATATACATAACCAGAAGAGACTAAATCAGGACTTCATCATCGACGCAAATGCACATGATTATGATATATATAGTAATATATCTACCTACATGCATAGATATATTCCTTAGATAAATTTAGGTGGTAATATTATCATATCAAACATGTAGATCAATAACATAAGTATCACCAAACACATTAATAAAGGGACACCTGAGAGAATAAAGTTGATACAACTAATAGGTATATCAATGAATAACCATTTGGAAATCAAATAGATATGTATATATGACAAATTGTGAGATTGACTAGCAGGCATATATTTCATATCAAATATTTTTAATAAAAAATACCACATAGATAATTTAACATAAATGCCAAATACAAAATCAGAAAGGTCAAATACATAACTAGATGAACATATTGGTCATTCAATCATTCAATTGAGTAGATGAAATAACAACTTGTTTATCAGGTACATAACAGACGAATATATTTATATGAGATTCATTTAAAACAATTAGATTCATGTCATATAGAAATTTAATTAGTAATATCAGGCATAAAATTAGGCAAAATTTTGCCCAGTCATCCTTGGTATCATCATTTTAAAGCTATGGGACAAGAGTCAGATCAAAATAATGGCAACAAAGTTACAAGAGTAGATATGAGTTAACAAGAGATAAAAGAAGGAATTTTTAGATTATTGTATCAAAATTATATGTTAATGGATCTCGATCCTCTACATGGCAATAGGTCATGAGGTACTAAATCAATATAGACAGGATTGATCATGTTTGTAAATGTATAAGATAACTATTTAAACAAATAGAAGAACAGAATGGTTAAAGACGTGTATTTAGGTCCCTAGCATTGAAGTATCATGGACAGTGTGGTGGGCACATTTATTTTCTGGCATTTGCCTTACATATTTCCTTTATCAAGAAATAAGACTTGCGATTCTCCTGTGATATTTTAGATAATGGTAACATGGATTTATCCATCTGTAATTGTTATAGTAGAAATAAAGCAAATTTCTGGTCATATCTGTACAAGTCTAGTAATTTTAAATATCATTATCACATCCTTTTTTCTCTATGATGATTGTAGGCAAATGTTCAGAAGAAGTCAATAACATCTTGATTTGTTTATGGATGCATTTACTTGTTGATTCGTGAGCTTGTAGTTGGTGACACTTTAGTGAGTAAAAATAGAGAAGAGTTCAAGAGAAGGAAGCCGGGGGTTGCTGTCTTTGTAGGACTGATTACTTAGGCGTTCTGTTTTGTACATTTGAAATTTCAGGTACATAGATATGATTTTTTGGTAGGTGTCAATTTTACTGATATAATAGACATGAACATCAAGCGACCATTACTTAAATCATCATTGACTGTCACTGGTTTTGACAACATAACTTTAGTGAATAGTTTGGTAGTTACTCTGGCATCTTGCATGATCAACACCTTCTACTTCTCAGCCTCTAGTTTTGAGGAGATCATTTGACATTAAGTTCAATCTCCGGGAAAACGAATGAGTTTTAATCTAATCTGCTTAAAATGTATGCTGAAATCTAGTATGAGAAACAAATGGTCTTTATGCCCACTAGAATTATTAGGATGAAATTGGCTCAATAATAATGTAGAGATGAATTGTAGTAACAGCATTGTATACTTATCCTGTTCGAAACTTTTTTATTTAAAATCTGGAATATATATTTATGTATACTAGAAACCGATATGTGGAATTAATGATGAGTGCATTTGGTTGCTTATAGGAATGATACTCGTGATTGTTATCATACACTTAGGCTGTTCAGACCTGAGGAAAGAGAGTACAATGATTCAAATTCTTGGCCAGACAAAGAGCATCTTGATTGCACAATCACTTGAGCTATAAAATTATCTCGACCATATTATTATTTCTGATATGGCAATACAATATTCTTCTAGTCATATCCAAACATGCGACTCACAAAATTATTCATCATTATCTGAGCTAACATATAGCCAATATCTTTTCACCAGTAAGAGGTGGGACCCTTTAATTATTTCTCTCGAATTCTATAGGTTCTTTTAGAATTTGGCACAGTGAAGCATACTTCTCTTCTCTGTCCTGTGAAACTGTTGGATTCTTTGTACGCTTAGTTTAAAGAATGTTTGGATATGGTCGGTCCTACTTGATTGGAATGTCAAGTTGTGCAGGAGTAGAGAGAGGGCTCTGTTTGTAGCCAAGCTGATAAGGAGAGAAGAATCTGTGTGTCAGAAAGGAGTGAGGATGAGCACTTGCCTTGTCACCCATGCGTGCAGGTTATGCGGAACAGTAATGCACAGGTGAGTGAGTGGCCGAGAGATGCATATTCCCTCATCCTTGGCGATCTAACGATGTCTCCTTTTTGGTCAGTTGGATATGGTGGAATACAACCGCGGCTAAAAGTTGAGTTCTTTGTGTTCTTCCTTTTTTATTAGAGCTTTCGGTTTATTAAGTAAAGGAAGCATATATATCCAAATGATTCTTAGTTTTCAGACATGTTTGGTTTGATATTTCCTTCTCTTTAATCTAGCTAGGTCAGACAGGAGGAGTACACGTAAAAGCTGGAATGTGACACTGTAAGTGTTGCCTTCTCAAACAGGGTCTGTGCCGCCATGATTCGAACACCATGGAAGACATAGTATTGACATGTTTGTAGTTGCAGCAGCAACTGATACAATGTACATCTTAACCCCGCACAGGTTAAAGAAGACAGCAGCCAAAACATGACGTCGTAGTGCACGTATTATAGTGAGACAGGAGGAGGAGGAGGTCGTGGAGGGTGTCAGAGCCAGAGTGCTCCGGCGTTGCGGAGCAGCGGCACGAGCTTGCCGCCGAGGTGGAGTGCCATGACCTCGTCGGTCGGGCCAACGAGGTTGCCGCCGATGAACACGGCGGGCACGGGGGGGCTGCGGCCCAGCATGTTGGCCAGCGCTCGCTCCATGTCCTTCCCCTTGGGGTCCTCGTCCAGCTCGTGGACGGCCGGGTTCACACCCAGCTCGCAGAAGAGCCGCTTGATGGTGTGGCACATGCAGCAGGAGCTCAGGCTGAACACCACCACCGCCCTCTGCGACGCCAACCTCCTCACCCTATCCATTCCCGCAACTGGAAGCTGGTGCAGATGAGTGCAAGGTTGCAAGCACTTCTAAGAGAGTGAGAGAAAGAGAGAGAACAAATGCAGGACACAGCACCAAAGACGTTCTGCCAGCATAAACAGGTGGCAGTCTGTGGAAGCAACCGAGTGCTCAAACCTGCACAGGGCTTGTATGCTGGACTAGGAAGAAGGTTGTGGTGGGTTGAGCTCCTCCATGGTGAGCTATTTATACAGGGCAAAGATATTTGGTGCCGGATTGCCCAAAATGCCCCCCTGATCATTGCACAGAAAGGGACTCTGGCTCACCCCTCTGCTGGTCCAGGTACTCAAACCAAGCTCAACTGGACAATTTAATAGTATTTTATTTGTGATTATGAAGAATATAAATTAGGATTATGTCTTATTTATTGACTTGAGCTCTTAGATGCAATAACAATCTACCATTTAAGATGATAGACTAAAGTGAAATATATTGAGTTCAAATCTTCATCAGACCACACTTATTAATATTCCATGATTGAGTCATTTGTTATCTATATACGAGACCAAGTTTTCAGAATATGCATTATGTTTCATTTGCTAACTTATTCTTTTAGATTATTTATCAAAATGATTAATTAGCATTGATACAAAAATTAAGAGTGATGCTACCCCCATTCCCCACTTTCACATTCTGATGCCAATGCTACTCTTATACTTTGTGTCTGTGATAAGGATCGAGTATTTTCTTTTTCTTGGATGGCTAGAAGGCAGCATCTGTGTGGGCCAAACTTCACCATGGGATGCCTTGAGGCAGCTACCGAAGGCTTATTGCTAATACTCCCTTTTCATTTATCTAGCATGCTGAAGCTTGAAGTGGAAAAGACTACTATATATATATGTATATAAAACTATGGGCACATGTTTGGAATTAGTCCCTTGGGAGATGAAATGACTGGTGGTGTGATATGGTGGGGCCATCTTAGTTAGAATAGGAAGCCATGGAGGAACAAATGGTGGGTCTTAGAATCCACCAAATTTGAGGCCTTTAGCACTTCAAATGAGATAAAGAAGTGGACTGCAAGTATGCATGAAGTAGGGGATTTGAAGCTCAACTCCTGCCCATGGTTTGCTAAGAGTCATTCATTGGTCATTCTTGAAAGTTACTTCCTCTTTAGCTCTGGAATTATGTGTATACTTTATTCAATTTTAAGATATAGAAGTAGTAATGTCTTTTTCCATAGAATATAGAAATTTTGAATAATATTCTACTTTTGCAAATTCCATATCTTTTTTTGGAAAGTCCTATTACATTATCATGGATTCATATATTGGAAACAGATGAAAATAAAGATGGCCTCAACTATATGTTAGATTTTTCAAGAAATTATTATTATATTTATTTGATCAAACACTCAATAAAACATCCATAGATTTGTCAAATATAATTCAAACAATAACATTGTAATTATAATTATGACATTTAGTTTAGTCTCTTATCGATGACTATAATATATTATTTATTTTATCAAACTGAATTGTAATGATATATACAAGAATCGATTTACTAATAAGTCATGATAATGATTCGAGTACGAAATGATCAATTACAAAATACGTTATAACATATAGTCATCTCAGGGCTACGTTTCATATGCATCATATTAAAATCTAATTCTGAACTATGATAAATCATGATAATGACATCAAATTTTTAAACTATTAACTTAGGTTTATTCAGATCAATCATTTAAACTCAACGAACTTAAATAAGTTGATTATCTTGATGTATATATCAATCAATCAAATTCTTATAAACTAATACTAGTTGTTGGCAGAAGAGTGATAGCAATGGTAACCATGGGGTTTATTGGCTTCAGAAAGAAAGACATTTATTCGAATGAAAGGAGTGCATGTTTCAATGGATTAATTATATTTCTATATTGAATATAAATTTAATTTAATAATACATAATTATTCTTGTTTTGATATATGTATATTTATTTATTACTACTGCATGCAGTTTAACTAAATTATAAAAGTTATATAATAACTTTACTAAATTATAAAAGCTATTATATCTGATTGGTAAATGCATTGTTTACTAGTGTATCATATATGACATTTTATATAATATTTTGATATAATAATTTAATAATACATAATTATTTTTGTTTTGATAGATGTATATTTATCGTATTACTGCTGTATTAAGTTTTACTAAATTATAAAAATTAGATATCCTGATTCATTAGTGTATTATTGCACAAGTAATAGATTGATATAATAATTTTTTATTAAAACAAAACAAAGTGTTGCTTAAGTGTAGACTTTTAGAGTTCATAGGAAAACAGTCTAATTATTTACTTGGCTTAATTAATTGTGTAATTAAGACAAGCTCAATGGTCAGTAACCCAACAGGTATAACTTGAGAAACAAGCTAAGAATCTCAAAAGTAAGAGCATCTAAATTGACTTCCAGCAAGCACTAAATTATGGCTGACTCTCAAATGGATCTTTGTGTTAGAAATGATTTGGTGCACATAGCTAATGCCATCCTTCAGATATCTCTCACATCAATCATCCAAGATTCAGTGCCATGTCCTGTCTAAAAATTTCAGATAGAATCCTATGTAAAAGGTCAGTGATATGGCATCTTTAGGGCAAGAAGCTGTCCATCGATATGGATCATATATTGTGTTTTATGATTCCTCTCTTGAGAAGTCCATCAACATATATCAAATAACACCTCCTCACTGCTGAAGTGCTCATAAAAGTAAGTTATTGTACAAGAAATAGTGACTGTCACTGGTGAAAACAACTTTCTTTCATTCGGAAGCATTATTTTATTATTCCCTTTTATTTAGGTAATTCGATGCAAATTTTGATTAGAACAAATGAGAAGAGATAAATTAATGCTATGTGCATTAATTTAGTTGATTTTAAGTTAATTTGAGGGTATTATCTTGCATAATGCCCAAATATAATGGATGATTTTGAGATTATTAATTATTTTAATATTTAAATTATAACTCATGTGCGATCATAACGACTCATGAGAAATTATTCGTTTTGGTGATCTCGTATGGTTTTATCTTTTCGGGATGAACCCAAAAAATATCTCAGTAGGTTCTTTACTCCTCAAAATTAACGTGTGATTAAATGTCTTTATCAATATATATAATATTTTTTTTATGAAGATAAAATTTATGGGATAAGATTCGGAACTCTCTCATTTTTGTATCTCAATAAGATGTATTTGAGCACATGATTCACACTCATAAGTCTGTGGTATGCGGAAGAATTCTGTGGAAGGAGATGGGAAAGCGCATGCGGATCGTTGACATGCCATTTCAACATCTGTTCTCCAGCAACTTTACCTGCTGATAAAGATGAGGAAGAACAACAAAGTGTAAGGTGAAGCAATGGCGAGGTGGGACATCGCAGAAAGGTCCTCTTTTCCTAAAATGAAAGAGAGAGACTGACTGATTGATTGATTGATGGATTGATTGATTCTAGGATGATTGATGATAATGATAACAAATCGAAGCTTGCTTTCACGTAGATGCAATTCCCTCGGCACCATGTCCACCGTTCTGTGCATGGCACGTTGCTTTCGGCGCGGCGTCGGCGGATGCGGACTTGGGTCGAATACCTTTCGGGCACCGTTTCCGTCGGCGTATCATCTGGCGGCGCGTGATATGGAGCTCAATGTAGAAGTTGGGCATCATGCAACACGAGGATTCCTCGGTCTCGTTGGGCTCATTGGGATATGATGGTATACACCCATTGAAGCTAAGATCAAAGGCCATCTCAAAGAACAAGCTTGAGGTGCTAACACTTGCTGTGTGTGTATCAATATGTAGAGGTTTGAGATCTTTGATATTGTCTTAGAAACATGGATTTAGATTCAATTTTACGTGGACACAGATGTCGAAACAGATTATGAACACAGTAATTGAGATCTATCAGTGACCTATAGGAATAAATGCAATTGCAACCCATTGATCACCTGAATATTCGCATGGAGTGGATGGAGGAGGAAGGTTAGAATAGTTGGGAAGAAGAAGAAGAAGAAGAAGAACACATGGAGATGAGAGAATCCAATGACTGCTGCTGCTGCCAATGGCCAGCCTGTAAGTGCATGATGAGTGGGGACTGTGCTGCCTCCTCCGAGGCTTATTTAGAGCCGTACTCGGGAGAACTCCAAGCCATCTCATGCCCTACACCTCCCTCTCCCTGTCTACAGCCGCAGTACAGGGAAGCCAGCGAAGCTCACAAGCTCTATTTCCCCCTCCCCCCCCCGAAGCTGAGCTCCAAAATACTGCACATCACAGTCCGGGACTGCTCCTGCAACCAAACTCCAACTTGGCTGGTGGCACAACTCATCTCTCATCGTCTCTAAGAACCCTCTCATGTGCACAACACAACTCTCTGCGAAGAAGAAAGCTCTGACGATAATGGAATGATTTATTGGCTGTCATGCTGTCACAGGGAACATGCAGACGATGATGTGCATGTTCTTCCTGTGTACTGATCAGAATGAATACAAGAAGTTTGTCTACAAAAGTTTTAGATCCAACAATATACTTCTGAACACACAGTTCTTTTTTCCTTTTCTTTCTTCTCTCTCTCAAGCAGAACTGCAACTCTTTACAGTAAAAAGAAAGCTATGAGATTCTTATCTCAATTTATGAGGACTTTCTCTTCCAATTTTTTGTTAGTTTTCTCAATCAAAACAGGCTTAATCTGTTCTGCTGCTCCAACACAATTTTCCCTTATAAAACATCTTAATTTTGGTAGGCACTGAAAATTTCATATATATATATGTATACATATATCATTCCAAAACATAAAAAACTTGTAGAACTCTAATTTATGTTAGCATTTAAAGAGAGATAATGTATATGTATGTAAAAACTGGAAGATCGAAATGAGCAAGGAAGGCAAGTTTGGCATGTAATGGCAGAGAGATCATTTGGTATCACCAAGTGGCTTTTAGCAGCTGCAATTAAAGAATGTTAGTCGAAGAAGCTCGTTCCAGAGTGAAGCTTAGAGTGAAGGTAGAAAGAAGCTTTCAGAAGGCTCAGTCTTGCCTCACGAAACATGACAAATCCACCCATCCCTTTTACCAGGCTTTCCAGCCTATCCCAGCCCATGCAACAGACACCCAACATCACAGGAGAGAGCAGCAGCAAAAGACAACCCCTCACTGTAGAGAGAGAAGATGGATGGATCCATAGATACTCCGCCACCAGCCTAGCCACCAAGAAACAGGAAGAAGGGGGGTGGGTTTGGCGGGGAGAGGAGGAGGGAGACTGCACTCTATCACTCTCAAGAATACACACATGCCACTCATTTCAGCTCTGGGAGAGGTGAAACCATGTCTACCACAGCAGGGAGGGAAGAAGGGGGGGTGGGGGCTCTCAGCTCAGTGACAGCAGAAGCTCAACCTTTTGTACTAGAAAAGCAGGCCCTTCATCCCTTCTTTCCCA